AAGAGTTTGAGAAGGACTGGTATGAGTTCTTCTTTGTATGTTTGGTAGAATTCCCTGGTGAAGCCATCTGGTCCTGGACTTTTATTTGTAGGGAGGTTTGTAATGCTATTTCTATTTCCTTCTAGTGATCGAATGTTCAAGTGTTCAGATTCTTCTTGATTCAGTCTTGGTGGACAGTATGTTTCCAGAAACTTGTCCATCTCCTCTAGGTTATCCAGTTTGGTTCCATATACTTTTTCATAATATTCTCATATGATATTCTGTATTTCTATTTTGTTTGTTGTAATTTATCCATTTTCCTTTCTTATTTTGCTAATTTGTGCTCTCTCTTTTTTCTTCTTTGTGAGTTTGGCCAGAGGTTTGTCGATTTTATTTACTTTTTCAAAAAACCAGCTTTTGGTTTGGTTGATTTTTTCTATGGTCTTGTTAATGTCTATTGTATTTAATTCCTCTCTGATCTTTATTATTTCCTTCCTCTGCTGCTTTTTGGGGCTTTTTGTTCTTCTTCTTCTAATTCATTCAGGTGGTGGGTTAACTTGTTTATTTGAGATTGTTCTTGTTTTTTGAGGAAGGCCTGTATAGCTGTAAACTTCCCTCTTAGCACTGCCTTTACTGTGTCCCATAGGTTTTGAGTGGTTGTGCTTTCATTATCATTTGTCTCAAGGTATTTTTTAATTTCAACTTTGATTTCCTCATTGACCCATTGTTTTTTCAATAACATATTGTTTAATCTCCATGCTTTTCTTTTTTTCTCCTTGGTATCTCTGTTGTTGATTTCCAGTTTCATGGCATTGTGGTCAGTAAAGATGCTTGAGATAATTTCTATCTTCTTAAATTTGTTGAGGTTTCTTTTGTGCCCAAGTACATGATCGATCCTGGAAAATGTTCCATGTGCACTTGAAAAGAATGTATATTCTATTTTTGGGGGGTGTAATGCTCTGAAAATATCCACCAAATCTAGTTTTTCTATTGTATTATTTAATTTCTCTGTTGCCTTGTTTATTTTCTGTCTAGAAGATCTGTCTAGTGATGTTAATGCAGTGTTAAAATTTCCAACTATGATTGTATTCCCATCAATATCCCCCTTTATATCTGTTAGTAATTCTTGTATGTACTTAGGTGCTCCCATATTGGGTGCATATATATTAACGAGTGTAATATCCTCATCTTGCATCACTCCTTCAATCATTATAAAATGTCCTTCTTTATCTTTCTTTATGGACTTTGTTTTAAAGTCTATTTTGTCTGAAATCAGTACTGCAACACCTGCTTTTTTGGCTTTTCCATTTGCATGAAATATCCTTTTCCATCCTTTCACTCTCAATCTATATGTGTCCTTCTCCCTAAAGTGGGTCTCTTGTATGCAGCATATTGAAGGTTCTTGCTTTATTATCCAGTCTGCCACTCTATGTCTTTTGACTGGAGCATTTTAATCCATTCTGCTAATCAATGACTTTTGATTGAAAAGTTTAATGAATTTGCATTTAAGGTCATTACTGATAGGGAAGCACTTGCTTTATCCACATTGTTATTTGTTTCCCATATGTCTCAAGTTTTTTATCACTCATTTTTTCCATTATTGGTTTCCTTAGTATAGAGTTTTTTTTTGTAGTGACATACTTTGATTACCTATTCATTTCCTTACATTATATTTATATATTTTCTTATATTTTTGTATATTCTGTAAACATTATCTTTGTGGTTACTGCAGAGATTGTGTATAACACTCTAACGTTATGACAATATATTTAAAATTGACACCAACTTAACTTCAATAATATACAAAAACTCTATTCCTTTATAATTCTGTACTCCTTATCTTCTCAATGTTACAAATAATTATTTAATAATGTATACCCATTAACAAAGATTCTTGATGATTTGTATGCATTCATAAAAAATAAAAAGTGAAGTTACAAACCAAAATTACAATAATAATGAGTTTTATATTTGCCCATGTATTTGCTCTTAAATGAGATTATTATTTCCTCATATTACTTTGAGTTACCATCTAGCATCGTCTTATTTCAATCAAAAGGACTCCACTTAGTATTTGTTGTAGAGAATGTTTAGTGGAAATGCACTCTTTCAGACTTTGTTTATCTGAAATTGTCTTAATTTCTTATTTTTCAAGGATAGTTTTGCCAGTTATAGAATACTCAAAGATAGTGATGTCAGCAAGATGAAAGAGCTGTTTTCTACAATTTGAACATAAAAAAACTAGTTGCATTTCTATACACTAAAAATAAACTATCTGAAAGAGAAATTTGAAGAACAATACCATTTACAACAACATCTAAGGCAACAAAATATTAGGTATAAATTTAGTCAAGGAGATACAATACCTGTACATGAAAAACTGTAAGTCAATGATGAAAGAAATTGAATAAGACACAAATAAATGGAAAGGTATTATGTGTTTATGGAGTGGAAGAACTGATATTTTTGAAATGTCCATACTACCCAGATTCAATGCAATCTGTATCAAAAGTGCAATGGCAATTTTCACAGATATAGAGAAAACCATGCTAAAATTTGTATGGAACAGCTAATGACCCTGAATATCCAAAACAATCTTAAGGGGAAAAAAGCTGGAAACATCACACATTCTGAATTCAAACTATATTACAAAGCTATAATGATCAAAACAGTATGGTGCTAGCATAAAAACAAACAGATAGAACAACAGAACAGAATATGGAGCCTAGAAGTAAAATTAAACATCTGCAGTCAATATTCTTTGACAAAGACACCAAGAACACAATGAAGAAAGGACAGTCTCTTCAATAAATGTTGTTAGAAAAACTGGTTATCAATGCACAAAAGAAAGAAATTGGAACCCCTATTTTGCACCACTCACAAAAATGAACTCAAATTGTATTAAAAACTTAAATATAAGACCTAAAGCCATAAAACTCCTAGAAGAAAACATAGGAGAAAGTTTCTTGACATTGGTCTTGGCAATGATTCTTTACATAGGACACTAAAAGCATAAGCAATAAAAGTAAAATTAAACAAGTAGGACAATATCAAACTTAAAATCTTCTGTATAGCAAAGGAAACATAAAATTAAAAGACAATCTGTGGGATGGGGAAATATTTTTAAACCATCTACCTGATTAGGGGTTAATATATAAAATATATAAGGAGCACACATATCAATAGGAAAAAATCTCAGTATAAAAATGATTAAAGAAGCTGAACAGACATTTTTCTAAAGAAGACATACAGATGGAAGGGGGATTGGTCAATATGATGGAGCAGAAAGACCCTGAGCTCACCTCCTCTCACAAGCACATCAAAATTATAACTATTTGCAAAATGACCATCAAATAAAAAGACCAAAACTGATCTGAAAATATCTTCTACAACTAAAGATATAAAGATGGAAACAGAACAAGGTGGGTAGGAGGGTCAGAGTCATGATACAGTAAGGTGCCATCCCCCTGGGCGAGTGACCCACAAATGGGAGAATAATTACAATTGCAGAGGCTTCCTGAAAATAGTGAGAGGTCTGAGCCCCATATTGGGGATCCTGCACTGGAAGATGAGCTCCAAGAGCATTTGGCTTTGAAGGTCAGTAGGGCTTACTTTTGAAAGTTCCAGAGGGCTGTGGAAAATAGAGATGCCACTCTTAAAGGGTACACACAAAATCTCACAAACTCTGGGACCAAGAGCAGAAGCAATCATTTGATAGGAGCCTAGGTCAGACCTATCTGTTGATCTTGGAGAGTCTTCCAGAAAGGCAGGAGGCAATTGAAGCTCACCCTGTGGATATAGGCACTGGAAGAAGCCATTCTGGGGAGCTGGTGCTGGCAAGTGCAATTTTGGAATCCTCCCTCTAGTTTATTAGCCCCAGGATTCATCCCAAGGTGGCCCACCAGTCTTCACGCACCAGTACTGGGATACCTCAGGCCAAGCAACTAACTGGGAATAGACACAGCCCCACTCACCAGTAGCCAGGCTGCCTTAAAGCTCCCTGAGCCCACAGCCACCTCAAATATGGCTCTGCCCAATAGAAGGTCCAGGAACCACCCCTACAATCCAGTGAACAGACATTAGACCAGGACCCCCAAGGCCCTGCAGCCAGAGAACCCAGGACCCAGCTCCACCCACCAGTGTACAGGCACCAGCCAAAGAATCCTCTGGGCCTCAGCCCCACCCTCCAGGGAGACTGCTTTAGTCTCTGGCCTAGCCTCACCCATTAGGGAGCAGACATCAGCAGCAAGAAAACTGCAGCCTTGCAATCTATGGATTCCGCCCACCCATCCACAGGCCATATGCTGCCCTGGGACTGGTTGGGACCTGGCTCCACATACTAGAAGGCCAACACAAGCTTTGGGACACTCCAGACCAGACACCATATCCAACTGTGTTAGGAGCCAGACTCACCTTTCAATGATCTGACACCAGCTTTGGTATCCCTGGGCCTTGAAACCAGACCCCAGGTCCTGGCTTTACACACCAGTGGGTAGTCATAAGCCCCAGGGTCTCCTGGACACTGATACCACCTACTAGTAAATAAGCACTAGCCCTGGGTTCCCCACCTCAAGGTTCTACAATCAGCTGCCTTGTGGCCTGGTCCTGCAAACCAGTGGTTGGCAGCCTCCACACAAGGCAGGGCCTGGCAACCAACTGAACTGGGTGTGAACCAAGCCTACCAGATCACCCACATAGACAGCCTGCCACAAGTGAAAGACTCATGCAGACATCATAGGGGGAACCCCTGGAGTATGTAGCTTTGGTGACAAGAGGGGAGTGTGCTGCAAAGATACACAGGACATCTTGTACAAAAGACCACTTCTCCAAAGTCAGGAAATGTAACTAACATGCAAGATACATAAAAATAAAAACAGTAACTTAGGCAAAATGAGACAACAGAGGAATATGTTCCAAATGAAGGAACAAGATAAAACCCCAGAAGGGAAACTAAGAGAAGTGAAAATAGGAAATCTACCTGAGAAAGAGTTCACGGTAGTGATTGTAAAGATCATCAAAGAACTTGGGAGAAGAATGGATACATAGAGTGAGAAGTTAAAACTTTTTAACAAAGAGTTAGAATATATAAATAACTATCAAACAGATGGAGAATATAATAACTGAAATAAAAAATACATTAAAAAGAATCAACAGTAGACTAAATGATGTAGAGGAATTGATCAGTGAACTGGAAGACAGAGTAGTGGAAATCACTGATGCAGAACAGAACAAAGAAAAAAGAATGAAAGGAAAGAGGACAGTTTAAAAAATCTCTGGGACAACATCAAGCACACTAATATTCACATTATAGAAGTCCCAGAAGGAGAAGAGAGAAAGGGACTGAGAAAATAATTGAAGACATAAGAACTGAAAACTTCCTTAACCTGGAAAAGGAAACAGGCATCTGAGTCCAAGAAGAGCAGAGTCCCAAACAGAATTAACCCAAAGAAAAATACATCAAGACACATTGTAATTAAAAAGGCAAAAATTAAGGCTAAAGAGAGAATATTAAAAGCAGTGTAGATGAAGAATGTCACCTGCCAGATCAGTAAACAAAGGATGTTGTGCCAAGTCAAGCCATCATTCACTGCAGCCACCCTCAACTGTGCACCCTGAGGAGATTCAAGATAGAGAAAAATGATACTGGCCCTAGATAGTTAAGGTGCATATCAAAGAAATGACTTCAATACGCTGAGGCTCTTGCATCTTCCCATAAATAGAAAAGTGCTAAATTCATTAACATGAGATGTCTGGTTTTCTTCAAGTAACAGTCAACTTCTAATGTTCCAATTACATGGGGTCTTTTTTTTTTCACAAAATCTCCTGTATATCCTGGTTGCTCCCTTATCTCTTCAGAACAGTCCCTCAGAGCTTCCTGAGAGGCTGTCTCCTGGACTTCAGTTCTCAGTATGACTGCTGAATAAAACATAATTATCAACTTTTAGGTTGTCCTTTTTTTTTAAATAAACAATTTCAGTGACCAAAGAAGGGACCCAGAGCAAACTTTTCTCCTTTGCCTGAACTCTAAGAGGATCCAGAGCCTCAGTACCAGCAGAGGCATCTTAGGCCTGTCCACCTACTTGGAGAGCCCAGACAAATTCGAGTGAGTCTCTCCTGGTTCTCAGATCTTACAGTTATTGGTTGATAATCCTGAGTTTTATTTGGTGGTGTCTAACTGGTACCTGGCTTCCCAGTTGAAAGATACTGGGAAATGACCCCCCAGTTGAAGGATACTGGGAGAACCTGATTGAAAGACACTGGGAGTTGCTCAGCTGAGAGACACTGAGAAGTCTGGACTGGCTGGTTATGTGAGAGACTGGCCTAACACCTTTGCTTCCAACTAACACTCCAGCCAGGTTTATGTAAGTACAAAACTTATAAGTCCATACTTAATTGGGAATTAAAGAAAATCTTGCCCTGAAAATTGGGCAAATGGGTTTGCCACCAGAACACAGATGTCATGAAAACCACTGCTAAACCTAAGCCAACACTGGAAAGAAGACTCACATCAACATCATAGTCACTGGACACATAGATTCAGTCAAATCTAACACTACTGGCCATCTGATCTACAAATGTGGTGGGATCAACAGAAGAACCATTGAAAAGTTCAAGAAGGAGGCTGTTGAGATGGGAAAGGGCTCCTTCAAGTATGCCTGGATCTTGGACAAACTGAAAGCTGAACTTGAGCATGGTATCACCATTGCTAACTCCTTGTGGAAATTTGAGACCAGTAAGTACTATGTGACCATAATGGATGCCCCAGACACAGAGACTTTATCAAAAACATGATTACAGACACATCTCAGGCTGACTGTGCTGTCCTGATTGTTGCTGCTGGTGTTGGTGAATTTGAAGCAGATATCTCCAAGAATGGGCAGACTTGTGAGCATGCCTTTCTGGCTTACACTCTGGGTGTGAAATAACTGACTGTTGGCATTAACAAAATGGATTCTCTGGGATTTCAAAATTGTAGAATAGATAAACAAGATTATACTATACAGCACAGGGAAATATACACAAGATCTTATGGTAGCTCACAGAGAAAAAAATGTGACACTGAATATATATATGTTCATGTATAACTGAAAAATTGTGCTGAACACTGGAATTTGACACAACATTGTAAAATGATTATAAATCAATAAAAAATGTTAAAAAAAATAAAATCACAAAAAATGGATTCCACTGAGCCACCCTACACCCAGAAGAGATAAGAGGAAATTGTTAATAAAGTCAGCACCTACATTAAGAAAATTGGCTACTACCCTGACACAGTAGCATTTGTGTCAATTTCAGGCTGGAATGGTGACAACACATTGGAGCCAAGTGCTAATGTGCTTTGGTTCAAAGAATAGAAAGCCACCCATAAAGATGGCAATGCCAGTGGAATCACATTTCTTGAAGCTCTGGATGGCATCCTGCCATCAGCTTATCCAACTGACAAGCCCTTGCATCTGCCCCTCCATGAAGTCTACAAAATTGGTGGTATTGATACCATCCCTGTGGGTCGAGTGGAGACTGGTGTTCTCAAGCCTGGTAGTCACCTTTGCTCCAGTCAATATTACAACTAAAGTCAAGTCTGTTGAAATGCACCACAAACCTTTGAGTGAAGCCCTTCCTGGAGACAACCAGGGCTTCAATGTCAAGAACATGTCTGTCAAGGATGTTCCTAATAGCAATGTAGCTAGTTACAGCAAAAATGATCCACCAATGGGAGCAGTTGGTTTCACAGCTCAGGTGATTATCTTGAACCATCCAGGCCAAATCAGTGCTGGATTTGCACCTGTGCTGGATTGTCACACAGCCCATGTTGCTTGCAAGTTTGCTAAGCTAAAGGAGAAGATTGTCATTCTGGTAATAAGCTAGAAAGTGGCCCAAGTTCTTAAAATCTGGTCATGCTGCCATCATTGACATGGTTCCTAGAAAGCCCATGTGTGTTGAGACTGTATCCTCCTCTGGGCCATTTTGCTGTTCATGACATGGGACAGATGTTTGCTGTGGGTGTCAGAAAGGCAGTGGATAAGAAGGCAGCTAGACCTGGCAAGGTCACCAAGTGTGCCCAGAAGGCTAAATGAAAATTATACCCTATACCTGCCACCCAGTCTTAATCAGTGGTGGGAGAACAGTCTCAGAACTGTTTGTCTCAGTTAGCCATTTAAGTTTAATAGTAAAAATACTAGTTAATGATAACAGTGTATTGTAAAACCTTCAGAAGGAAAGGAGAATTTTTGTGAATCATTTGTTTTGTTTGGGACAGTTTTAAGTTATTAATTTTTAAAATCAGTACTTTTTCATGGAAACAACTTGACCAAAAATCTGTCATAGAATTTTAAGACCCATTAAAACAAAGTTTAATGAGAAAGAAAAATCTTTCCCTGAAATGTGGAGCTCTTTTATTGTGTATGCAGTTAAATTAGAGAAAGCTGGCTTGATAAAACATTTTTTTATTAATTCAGATCCTAAAAAATCAAAAGCCCTTCTAGGGGGGAATTTGCATTTCTCTCTGTGTGTCTTTGAGATGTAAATATACTACCTGCTCTTCTTAGGCATGTGTGTGTGTGCACGTGTGTGTGTTGAGAACTTAGTCCATACCATCCAGAAGGTACACATATGGTGTATATTTGATGGCCAGTTGAATAAACTGCGATTCTAAGCAGTCCTTGTGCCAACTCTTAGGAGCTTTTGCTATCTTAACCTTTGTTGTGTCTTCCTGTACAACAAAGGCCTTTACTTTCTTATACTGTTTTTGGGAGTTTAGTTTTCTAGATCTTGTTAAGTATACATCCTTTGCATTCTCTTATAGGGATGCCTCTTATTAAGGTGTATCTTGTTAATGGCCAGCTAATGGCTTCTTTAAATTGGGGAAACTTCTAAATTGGTAAATTTTTAGAGAGCTGTCATTCTAAACAGCTGTTTTGTTGGAACCTATAAAAAACAAATTAAAAGGTGGAAAACATATATATATATATATAAAATATATATAAATATGTATATAAAACATTTTATATATATATATATATATATATATATATATATATATATAAACCAATATATAAAACAATTAACCTAAAAAGTCCCTTAATTTAAAACAAGCAAAAGTGGCATGGGAAGCCTTATTTGTGGTCTCTGCTTCCCCTCAATGGGCCTTACAGATGCTAATAAAAACATTAGGACAATTAATGTTAATTAGGTTGATTGACAGGGAAGAAAAAAAAACAAAAACACTGAAGAGAAAGTCTAGAGACTTCTTTCCAAAAAGATGGAAATTTTAAAGGGACTCAACCCAAAGAGATAAAGAAATCTATAGACAGTTATTAAGAAATGGGATAAGTAAAATGGATGCTAATGGGATTAAAACAAAAGGTTCTGATACAACAATACCTAAGATTGGATGGACCCAAGGGGTACCCTACTGGTCCCTAACATTTAAGGGCCTCAACAAGTCTGCTTTGTTTTACCCTAGTTAAAATATATATATTTATTTATATTTAAAAGTCTGAAAGAAAATTATGCTGAGATACCTCACCAATAATTACTTGCGGCAATTAGTCAAGTTAAAAGATTGACAAAAGGGTCTGAGTCACTTGGCTCAATCCCTCACTGGGGACTCCAGAACCTTTTATACAAAACAGGTAAAATAGTTGAGGGATAAAAAGTTAGGAAAGTTTGTAGAACTCTTTATAAGACCAAGACTTTTTGATTGGGTCCTAATGTAAACTAAATTTAAAGGTATAAAGGTTGATAGAATTGAGATAAAATTTTATTAAAAAATTGGTATATTTAAATAGGCTTTATATAAGGTGGTTACAACTCTTTTGCCTAAGTATATTGTGGGATAGACATGTTTCACTGATGAATGCTTCCCCTGCTTGATACTGTAAGATAGAGCACATGAATTTGCCCCTCAAGAAATATTAATTAAACATACTAAGGGAAACAAATAGGGTTACCTGAGCCCATACAATATAAAGTAAAAAGGAGAGCTAATATTTGGGGGCTAATAAAAATAATAATAGAGAATTTGCTCTGGGTCTAACCTGTGCACTCAGAAAGAGAGTCTTTGTTGAATGTTTTATGCAACACTTTGAAGGTATGAAAAATTAAATCTAGAACATAGAACTCTTAATTTTCAGTTTAGTTGGAAATCTTCTCACCAATATAAAAAGCAAATTAAAGAAAGTGTAGATGGGCAAAATGATCTTTTAATATCATTTAGATAGCAGAACAGTCTTTGGAGAATTAAAAACAACTGTTTTGTCTTGCAATCTCCACAAATCAGAAGTGTAAATACAGCCCACAGTGACCTGAGACTGAGCTTAATTAGCTCAATCAGGTAAAACCTAAAACCAATGGAAAAAGTTGGGGGTGGGGGGAGGCCTTTTTAAACTCAAACCGCTGGAAAGGCTCCCTCACCCAAAATCTAATTCATAGTCACCTTAAGGGTTTATCAGAGACAAATACAAATCTTAAAAGTCTTTTCCACCAATAGAAAAGCCTTAGTTATCTGAGCACATAAATTTAACTTATTCCAACTGTTATTTATAAACTAGTAAGTTTATAGTGTAATACTTGATTCATAACTAGGTTTTTGATTCATAACTAGGTAGAATTAAGATATCTAGTTTCATCTAGAGTTTTATATGTCTGTGCACAAATTATACATATGAGATGTCTCTACCACTGGGGAATATTATCAAAATTAACATAAAAAAACTCTAATTGATTTAAAAGTAGGTGCTTACAAATCAAATCCATCTAAATATAAAAGACACTTGACAGAATAAATTTCGTGCTCACATGACCAAGGAAATATTCAATATTAAATTCATATCTGATATTAAAGCTAGCTTAAAAGATTGTTGATTACATCAAATAGACATGTCTTGCTTCTATTATACCCAGGTTTACTGAAGGTCAATAAGTTTATGTTATTTCTGTTGCAGAGATGGTCAACAAGAAAACAAATTAACTTGGTATAATTTTCATAAGTTATAAAATAAAAATAAATGAAAGACTTTTCAGGTGAACTCTCCTAGGAATAACTATGTTTTGGCGTATGTCTATCTAAAATGGTTTCTTGAGATTTTTGGTACCTTGAAGCTTTAAATTTTGCTAAGTTAAATGATAAGAATTCATTAAACATCCAGGTCATTTCAAAAAAGATAAAATACTAGAACATTAGTTGCTAAACATGTCTAAATTCACCTACCTTTGTCTCCTTATAAAAGGGAAACTAAAAATGTTTAGGTTTATTAGACACACGACTTGTACAACATTGAGGAAAGAAATTATGCTACGAGAAAATGTAGGTCTCCAGAGGTTATGGAATATTCTAATCAGAAAATGCTGGTATGGGATGGACCTAGAGATTACATACCAAGTGATGTAAATCAGAAAGAAAAAGACAAATATCATAAGATGTCACTTATATGTGGAATCTTAAAACATGATACAAAAGAAATTATTTACAAAACAGAAAGAAATTCACAAACATAGAAAACAAACTTATAGTAACCAAAGGGGAAAGGGGGGGGGATAAATTAGAAGTTTGGGATTAGAGATACAAACTACTATATATAAAATAGATAAATAGCAAGGTCCTACTGTATAGCACAGGGAACTATATTCAATATCTTGAAAAAACTTATAATGAAAAACAATATGAAAGTGAATATAAACATATATAACTGAATTGCTAGGCTGTACACCAGAAACTAACACAACATTGTAAATCACATATACTGTAATTAAAAAAAAAGAAATTACTGGGATGACAAGCAGTTCATGATTATTTTCTAGTCAGTTCACTAGAGGTTAAGATTTTTAAGGATTAAAATTGTAATGTGTAATTAAAGCTACCAAAAA